TATTCTTGTAAAAAACAGATGTAATTAATTTTGTAAAGTTTTTTGAATTCATTATTTTTTAAGTTAATAAATTTATGAATTTTTGTATGAAATTTGTCCTTCAAATATTTTTATAGAAAATTATTATTTTTTTTTTAAAAATAATATTTATTAAATAATTTTTCTAAACCCTCGGGCACTATTCCACTTCCCTGCCCGTGCCTCTTTTTTTTTTCTTTGCCCTAGTCGAAGCCCCTTTCCCTCCTTTCTTGACCGAATCTTGGAGATCTCTTGCCGGTCTTCCGGTCATCTCCTCCCTTTCCGAGCTCTCGTCGCCAATAGCCTTATAACGTTTGTCTTTTATTAAAGTCCACTTTGGGTAGACTTCACCATTAATAGTGCCCACATCACATGGAACTCCCCACCAACCAGATGCAGCTGTCATGGTAGCTTTTGGCAACTGGCTCTACCATTAGGGCTTATATTTAGAAGGGAAATTTACATACATGCCACACAATTCTTATGTATTTATAAATCTAACACCCCAAATTTGGTTTTACACTTCATAACATTTTGATGTAAAAAAAGTATGCATGAAAATTCGTATTTTGCTTCCAAAAAATAGTAATAATAATATTTTTAATGTTATATTAAAGATTTAGGTGGTATGCATGTGAATATAAATGTATAGGTGTTAGATATGTAAATACATAAGAATTGTGTGGTATGTATGTAAGGCTTTATATAAAATAAAAAAGATTTACATACATACCACTCAATTCTTCTTATGTATTTACATAACTAATATATATACCTTAACGCGTGTGCGCCGCACGCACGCACACACAACTTTATCTATGTATGAGTAGGTGTATTTCACTTTTTTCGTAATTATAGTGATATTTTTATTTAATTTGTAGATCGTAGCAAATGTCATCAAATTATGTGTTCATAATGATTCCTGTTTATCAAATAGACGAGCAATTTAATGCATATTTAATATGAAGTTTATTTGTAGATCAAGTGAATCAAGAAATAAAATAATAATAATAAAAATTTAAATATTATTTGATGGATTTTGAATTTATTGACAACAAACAACATTGGCGTTGCTGTGAATATCAGGGCATTTACATACATACCACCCAATTCTTATCTATTTGCATATCTAACAACAAAATTTTTATTTTTTTCATATTTACCACCCAAATCTTTCATATCACAAAAATATGTACTATTTTGACTTTCAATAAGTGAGAAACAACTTTCTAAAGGTATAGAAAAATATGCAAACATAAATTTAGGTGTTATATATGTAAAAACATAAGAATTGTGTGGTATGTACGTAAATTTTCATTTTTTTTAAACTCATACACACATACACATACATATAGATTAAGCTCTGAACTCAAAAACATTTTATTAGAGACAACTCTCAAATATTGGAAAAAATATTACCTCAGGAGTACTGATGCATTAGTACTCCAATGAGGAGGTGTCAAGTGGCATTATGATGGGACCATTGCATACGTGACATCTCCTCATTGGAGTACTGATGCAAATATTTTTTTTTCGTATTTATGACCTACTTTTTCCAAATATTGGGCTGAATGGGTTCATTACAACTATGCTGATAAACTCCATACTAACTTTTAAAAGTTGAAATACACATTTTAAAACATAGTTAAAAAGTGGCATAAATATAAAAATTAAAATTTGGGTGTTAGAAATGTAATTACATAAGTATTATGTGGTAAATCTTCCCTTTTTTTTCCCCTTTAACTAGCACACAAGCTAAATTTGTGTTTCTGAGATGTCATCTCTATTTGAAAAAAAAAATATTACGTCTGAAAGCTGCGTCTAAGATGACGGAAAATATTTGTGTACATAAGACATACGCAGCGCTGCGTACGTCAGGGGTTATTCAGGAGGTACAGGGGATTATATTCGGGTTATACCCCCCTGACCCCCCTGTAACCTCCGTGCTCCGTGTAACTCTCTTACAACCTCCGTATAACTTATTTGTACCTATGAAATTACAGAAACGCAGAACTCATTTATAGGTTCAGGTAGTTTACAAAGATGTTACAAGGGGGTTACATCGGGGTATAACCCCTGGTGCTGTGTACTCATTAAATACTAGGTTCATCTTTCCTACTGTGCCCCAATATGCTAGTAGGCTAATACCTTAACTCGCAGATTTGAGATAGTGTGATCAGGTTAATGGACTTCAAATCAATTGGGACTGATTGTGTAAGTCAATCACTTTGACTAGTAAATCTAAGACATGATGAATTTTTGACAATTTATTTCTTAATATGGTCCATCGAACAACACAAAATATAACCAAAGTTTTTTCAAGTCCATTGAAAGCTGGAGCATGTGCCTTGTGGCACCATCACAACGTGACTGGCCCGACCCGCAACAACACAATTATTTAGTCTCCTGGTCATAAACTGGACCCAGTTTCTTTAGGTGGCTAGTGTGCAAAATGGATATGATATAAAATTTAGAAATAATTCAAATTTCACACACTAGGGGTTCTACACAAGTGCACGTATCGTTTCAAGTAATATAGAGATTTCTTTAAAACCCAATATTGATCCCATAGAGAAGCGAGGTAAGAAATCCCTTAGGATAAGTTCTAGTCCACTACTATCAAATCTTAGTTTGGAATTTTCAAAAAGTTTGGTTTTCCTAAATTTACTAGTTTACTATAAAATTAAAATTAACTAAATTAAATAAAAATCTAATCTAAAGAGAATGGTTAAAATTTGGAAAGTTATTATATAGTAAAAATCTATTTCCTCTTTCAATGAGATCATAATTAGTGTAGGAATCAAATGTTTAAATATTTAAATGTAGTTTTGTGACAAATAGAAGCATATATATTCTTTACCCTGTCATGAGTGTATAAAGAACATTGGTTACTCTAAAGTTAAGTTTCTGATTATATGCTTGTGTTAAGCAAATTTTAGTCTATCACTTCCAGATTGCCCACTGTGCCCTCTCAATAGGTCCAACAAGTGAGCTAGGAAAGTGGGGACTCACACTAATCTCAAATTTACTAGTTAAGGCATTAGCCTAATAGGAATATTGGGGCACAGTACAGCTAATGAACTAGAGAATGGAGATTAGATTTTGGGATTCTAATCACATTAGGATGGAAAGCATATGGATTCATATCCAACCCAAAAGAGTAATCAGGGTGATTAGAACAGATAGAAATCACATGAACTCATACCTGACTTATGAACTAATCACAGGGAAAGGCAACCTGAGGGGACATTACGCCAGACCCAAAAAAGATTGATTGATCATTATTTGTTTTAAAGTTTTTTTGTTATCTATTTAAAATTTCTTGATGTTTTTTTTTGTTTTAAAGTTTATGCAACTTTATTTTTAAGGGTTTGTTTTTTTTTTTTTTTAATTTTATGTTGTTTTTCAAATGTTTTAAATTTGTTCTTGTTTAAAAATTTGGTTTCATTGTCAAGTTCAGGATTCCCAACTTATAGAAGTTATATGTTATCTAAATATCATCTTGGTGAAGAGCCCAAAACTCATTTAACATCGTATCATTCAGTTGAAAATGATCTTGATCCTTTTATAAAAAAAAAAGAAGATAAATTCATATAAAAATATTCACAGCTGCGTATGTCTTATGTACGCAAATATTTTTCCTAGATGACAGACGCGATGCACAGAAAAAACGGAGGAAAAAAAAAAAGAAAAACCTCCCCGCACATCATTTTCTCCTCAATTTGGCCAATGCAGTAGAGTCAAGGCTCTACTGCCCTGAGAAATCCTTCAAAATCCAATCAGAGTAGTCCAAACATTTAAATTTAAGCGAGCAAAAGAGTATAAAAATCCGGGCCATTTATACTTTTTTACATTTCTGCCACTTAAAAATCTTTTTGTGGGATAATTACATACAGACCCCTCAAAACATTGATATTTACAAATTAACGACCCAGGTGGTTATCTTGAACTACCAAACTGATGTATTTACACATTCCACAATTAAATTATTGAGAATTTGATAAAAAAAAAAAAGAAAAAAAAGAGTTTTGTTTACCATGAATTACGATATTTGAGTGAATTTTGAGATAAAAGAGTTCGATTGACTTGTAAATAACAAGTTTCGGGTGGTCTGTATGTAATTGCCCAGTCATTTTGCATTCTGTGAAAGAACAAATCGACATTTACATACATACCACACAAGTCTCATCTAATAACCTTTAACACCTAAATATTAATATTCAGGTGCAGAACACTCGAATATTTAACACGACATCAAGAATATCACCATCATTATCTTTTTAAAAATGAAATACACTTTTTTATGTACAATATTATGACAACAATATGTCGTAAGTGTAAATATCAAAATGGGTGTAGGACATGTAAATAGATAAGAATTCTGTGGTATGTATGTAAATTTCCCAAGAACAAAATATGCTGAGATTAATTGACATTTCATTCTGGATAAAATCATTTCTGAAAATATTGCCACTGCTTATGACTCTCATTAATTGACATGCTTTGACAAAAGCTGATAGCTCAATACACCTAGGGCTATAAACAAGCTAAACATGAGCGAGTTTAAACTTGGCTCATGCGTGGCTTGTTCAAAATTAGTTCTATTCAAAATTAGCTATGTTTGTAAATGCTCATGAATAGTGTCTTCGTGTTCGGCTGATGTTCCGCTCAAAATTACCTTATTTAAATTCATTAGAAAATTAAACGTAGGGGGTTGGATTCAAAATTATACCATTTCTATACAATAAAATGCACAAAACTGTTGTGATTTAAACTCAAATCTCTCTCTCTCTCTCTCTCTCTCTCTCTCTCTCTCTCTCTATATA